GACCACACTGTGGTTATATTTTCGTTAAAAGAACAACTTCCAGCGTTTAAATGCACGTTGACCTAGAACTATATATGGCAGAGATGTAATACACTTATTTGATCATGTAGTCCCTTGCATTTAAGAAAATTTACTGCATCATCTACAACATTTTTTTTCCTTTATGTATGTGGTAGGTCAGCAAATAAATGTTTGAGGGCTAGGCTTTCAAAAGTAAATGTGGGTCCACCAGGAGGGGCCTGGGTTGCCTGACCGTGGAGTCTGTGGACAGGTCTGTCTTACGGTATCCCAGCTGACATATAGCTGTAACTCCAGGAAGGCAGTGGTGTCCAATAGGTCCTATTGCATTATACCCACTATTGCATAGATGGTTGAGAAGTGAGTTCCTGATCCTTCTGAAGCCAATCCCTGAATTTTTGTGGGATCAGGGCCAAGATATGTGAATGTCCTGGCTTAGCAAAGCTTAGCAACGGACAACTGCATCTCTCCTGTCCACAAATGCATTTATTCTGGCAGACACCAGATATGCAGAGGAGAAAACACATAAAATAATAATCATCACCTCTTCAAAATATGTTTGAACTATTTCCACATAAAGTATCGGTCCAGGAATTCTGGGAACAGGAGAGATTTGGTAGTCAGAGTAATAGTAGTAGAAGAATCCATGCCAATTTCTGATCCCTAAAGTTCAGCCAAGTAAAAGTTCATGCATTGTGAAGTTGTCACAGCCTGCTTGCTTAGGTGGCCATGACCTCTGCCACTTTTGTCCTGTAAATTCAAAGTGGCCTCTTCCCTGGCCCAGTAAGGAACAGAAGATGATTCATTGCAGTCAAGCATCTCAGAGCTCAAAGTAGCCAGTAAGTTTTCCCTAGGACTTCTGAAAAGCCGGTTTATTTGATGGAATGCACACAGAAGGTGAAGATACAGAAGGAAACTATTCTCTTATTTGTTTTCTGTTTCTACTAGTTTGTGCTGTACATAGACACAAAAAAAAAAAACCCACCTAAATCCATTACCGATTCAGTAACTTCTGCATCAGTATCTTGCTCTCTGCACCAGCAGTCTTAGCTACCTTGCTAGGTGCAGAAACAAAGTATGTCTTTCTGGTTTTATAGAGTGAAATTATGCTTCACACTCGGAGTTTCTAGGTTGTACGCTTGCATTCAGAAAGGATGTGGTTTTTCTGTTCTGTAGGTTTCAACACAGAGCTGCACCAAAATGGAGTTGGAGGAAGTTTGCTGCATAGTGCCAGTTGTGACAAATACTTCACCATAATTCTTCACAAAAGGATGAAACCCACAGTTTTAGTCTTCTGAACTACACCTTGCCTGCTGGGAAGGGTAGACTCAGGTTTAACTTGCATGGTGGGCACAGTAGGACAGTAAGTAGTAGGCCAGAGGGGACAAATGGGGACATGCAGTACAATGGTTCTCATCCAAGTGTTTAGTAAAACCGTCCCTTACTTGTTCTTTGCTTTGGCTTCTGCTCATATTGAAGGTGCCACCACAATAAATCTTTAAACCTCCATGGCAAGTACCTAAATAGACTTTGCATCCTGTCTTGACTCCATACCCACAAAACTGTAGAGTACAAGGAATCTTTATATGCCACCTTTTCACTTGCCAAACATCTGCTAGGTCCTTGTCAGTGCTTAAGGGGTCTAGCCTGAGCCCCCTGGCTTTGAAGTCTGCAAAGGGCCTCATTGTGCTCACAGGAGCTACTTCCTGCAACTAGTTCTCATTCAGTTACGAGAGCAGACTTCCCAGGAACATGGAAGAAACGTAGGTGGGGATATCTGCTCCTTAAACCAAATGACAGGGAGAAGCAAATGCAGTGGTTCCTCTGAAACTTTTCCAGAATGGCTCCACTTTTCTAGGAATACAAGGCTAGTTTGGCAGGGACTACCGGTGTCACTGAAGAGCCTTTTTTCATTTCCTCTTTTCCTTCTGCTCCATGCTGTATCTAGGAATAATGTATTTCCTACTAATGTTGGCCCCTTATACTGAAAATGCAGGAAGACAGGATGGGAAACAGCATTCACATAGGTCCTAGCTAGTGACTGCAGTGTATCAGGTTTTTGGTATATGAAATGAAATGAACACAGTATCCTGAGGATACTGAGACAATGGCAAATTGTCATTCTGTGTATTCAAAATGTTCTGTATACTGCAGGCAAGGGTACTGTCGCAGGTTGACAAACAGAAAAGCAACCCTTGCTTTTCTACATGACATGGTTTTTCTGGTCATTATTTAGTTTCTGGGAAAAGAAACAACATGCTTGTGTTCTGGGGTATTTCCACCTGATTTCTCTCATTGTTTTCATGCACAAAAAGAAGGTGAAACCAGGGGGTTACAAGTCTGAGGAACTACCCCATTTCTAGTTATGAAAAGAGTACAGATGTTATGTGACGGTGTTTTATTCACTTTGTCTTCTAAGATTTAAACATATTTTCCTGAATTTTTAAACGACAGAAAATAAAACCTCTGTGATAATTGGGGGTTTTCCTCTTTAAGAAACAAACAAACAAAATCAACCAACCAACCAAAAAACAACAAACATGTAAAGAAATGTAAACTCTTGATCTACTTCTCTCTCTTCCAGGGAGCACTTGGGCTGCTAGTACCTCTCACTTCTCTCTCTTTTTACGAGTGTCTGTTGCTGTAAACACCATCCACTAGAATCTGGGTAAAAACTTCGTGTTTGTTGCTCATCATAGCTTTGCTTACAGCTGAACCAGTTCATTAATTCACATTAGCAAAATTAAGATTAAGGCTCTGTCCTAGTACCGAGCAGAACAAACAGTTCCTGCTCTCTCTGGTAGTGCTGTAAAGGACCTGTCTGTTGTGAGTAAGACCTTGTCTAAACTCCAGGCTGCCATAAAGGAGGTAGCTAGAAGGATTTGCAGGACACTGTAATATCTGGAACTCATCCACAGAAATGCAATAAAGTATTTTTAAACACATGAGAATCTTCCAAATCCTTGGAAATCTGAGTAGTTTGCTTTGAGAATGCCCATAAATAAAATATCTCCCAGGCCTGAAAACCACATCTGTTGCCAGAGTTTAATCCCAGATACTGAAAGTGCAGAAAGAAGCTGGCTTATAAGGATACAGGGGTACTCCTCTGTGCAGATAGATCATCTCCTTTTGCAAAGTCCCCAACAAATGCCCAACATTTTCAATATGCAAAATCAACTTGCAGCTGCATAACTGCTACAAAGGAGGTTTCTGCATTGCAAAGAGATGGTTTTCTTGGAGGTATTGCTTTATGTAGACCAAGGGCTTTGCAGGCAATTCATAATTTCATCTCACTGGACTAGACTATGGATGAGTTATCAGCCTTGGCTCCTGGAAGTCGTGAGTTGTGAGTTTCTTAAGTTCAGATAAATGGTAAACCATGCACATGGTGAATATATGCATGTACATGCACAGAGTGTTATCCCTTCAGCTTTCATTTCCTTAGGAAAGGAGGCACGTACACCCCACACACAGGTGCACAGAGATACAGATAAACATTTTGTAGATTGAGTTAAGAATTAGTTTGACAAGTTTACCACACTGTAGTGGTCCCTGAAGTGTCTGGTTGCACATTTACATAGGTTGCATTGGTAGCTGACTTTCAGAACTAAACACAAGGGAATATGTGTGGTTGCTGTAACGCTTTCAACATACGTGTTACTACAGATCTCTACTTTTCTATATGTTAACCAGACTTGTGGGTTTGGTAGTGCCTTTGCATAACTTCTATTTGTGCAGCTGAAAAATCTCTTCCTGCGTAATTGAGTTCTGACCATTAAAATCAGAACCCAACAAAAAAAGGTCAGCCTTTAACAATCAGCCATTATATAAAATGTCCGCGTGTTGTTTCCTATTCACTCTCTAGATAACTAGGATGGATTTTCAGGTGCTTTTTGGCTGACAGTTAAGACATGGTCATTGCATAGTTTGTGTCTGTACTGAAGTATTTTAAACCTCAGAATGGTTGCTTTTATGTGATTTCTTCTGTGTAAGGAAATGAGGGTCAGACTTTTCCATTGGTTTCTCAGGGATAAGCTCATTCTGTTGCTACTGGTGTACATGACTGCACTGAGGTAGGACTGAATTAGACTGTTCAACTAATGTTTAGTTCCTTGGATCCTTCCAGCAAGATGGGCGATTCCCCAACTATTCTGTAGGATAACAATGACAACATTTTTTTTTTATCAGCCAGCAGATAAATGACAGCTTTCCCTGTGCTCTGGAATGTCATTGTGGTGGCCTCTTTCACAAGTTTTGTCAGCTTAAGTAAAACAAATACCCTACTCATTTGCCTAAGGTTACAAAATAACAACCAAGCATTTACTGTTGTTATAGGGACCCATAATTATTTATCAATTACTGAGTATGCAAACTTATTTTGTGTACTCAATGGATTTAGATCTATTTTCATTCTGGTCTAATTAGAAAGCTACATGGTAATCTCCAGCCTCAGGCTTTTCCTATCCATCATTGAGTGATTGCTTAGCTTATCCTTTCAAAATAAACAAGGAGCTGCCACATCCACAGCAATGTTCCAAAAGGAGGCCCCATACACAGTGATATAGCATTAAGAGGTTACTTCTTTTTTTTTTAGCAATTCCCTTTTGTTTTGCAAACTTGTCTACTAACTACTGGCTTCAATGAGAAGAGTTCACTTTGAAATTTCTAGACCAAGTTAACATTTTCTTTCAAACATGGTGGGAGAGGAAGAAAACGAATTTGAAGCAAAGGTTAGTTGACTATAGGACAAAAGAAGCTAAATTCTGGGAGTATAAAGTACTGAAACAGGTATTTGAATGAAGTTACGGGCTCTCCTTTCTTGTGTGCTTTCCAGAACATGTTAGATAAACATGTTGTGATTAGCCTAGGCATATCAGACCCTGCCTCTGGGCAAAAAATTATATTAGATGATCTCATAAGGTCTCTTTCAGCTCTAGTTTCCTAAAATTAAATTCAAATTAGAAGCACAGGAGGCTGAGCTGTGCAAGTCACTGAACTTTACCCACTACTGCTAGAAATCAGAGTGCCCACCATGCTCTGTAAGAGCAGACCCTCCATTTGAGAGCTGTGCCACTGTAGGAGGAGGTAGACATGGAGATGAGAGGATGCTGGAAGTAAATCCCCAGGATGGAGGCTGTGGGCAATGCCAGTCACAGTGAGACACTCCCCTGGCCTCTGACACTGGCAAGGTATTAGAGGAAAAGTTTGAATGAAGTCTGTCCACTCTTTCCTAGGAAAAATGAAAATTGGCTGAAAGAAGAGGTATCCTATGGTTTGCATCTCCTGCTGATGAGCACCCGATGTAACCGAATGTATGCTGGAAGGCAGCCCCATGGCCAGCTGCCACATCCCAGGGTAAGCATCCATCTTTCTGGGCCACTGATCTCCCTTCTTGCTTCCTGCATTATCTCTGTCCCAGTTTAGGTGAGGGAACAGAGTGAAATGAGTCCATCCAGTAAGACAGTGGGAGGACCCCTCCAGGATAACATGTAATGTGGTAGCTAAGTGGCCCCCTAGGAGTTTGAGAAACCATCATCAAGTGCCTGTTTCCAATCAGGCAAACAAAGATGTCCCAGAAATAAGATACAGCCTTTCAGCCTTGGTCAAAGAGCAGCACAGTCCTCATAGCCTCCTCTTGGGCATGGGTTTTGGCATGGTTGTCATGAGCAATCCTGCTGTAGGACCCATATTTAATGTGCATTAGGCACAAAACAGTTTGGAGCCAAATAAAAGAGAAAACAAGGTTCAGCGTCTGCAGGCTGAGGTGTGGATTCTTGGGATGCAAACCACAGGCTTTGTGCAGAACATGGCAATTAGACACTTAAACCACCCACACAATCTCATCCCATCTAATGGTGTTTGTCTGTTTATGTTTATGGTTATATTTGTATTTTAGAGGGAAAAACAAGCAAACCTCTTTACCAAGAGAAAACATCCCATTGCACAAACCAATTTTCTGTCAGGAAGAAGGTACTCCGTGTGATACAGGTGGTCATACCACCTGATGTGCAGCCAGGAGCGCAGCAATGATGCTTCCATGTGAATTTGAGTAGTTTTAAAAAAAAAAAGTTTCAAGCTTCATCAAAGGGCAGGTGGTCATATATTTTTTTTTTATGTATACATATCTTCACATTCACTGTTGTGTGTATGACAACACGCGTGTTTTAGTTGCAGGATAGGTCTGCTTTTTGATCATGGGAGAAGCCAGAGCTGCTTGTGTCCATTTACAAGGTTATGTAGTCTGACTCTAGCAAACAGTCAGACTCTGTTTCTTTGTATCATGTTGATATTTCCACTCTGGGATATACAGTGGCTTTAGGACCTCAGGAAGAGCTGTTTGTGCAAATTATCAAGCAAACCAGTGGTATGTGCATTCCGAGGACTCATAACTCAGGCAGAAAGAAAAAAAAAGATCATCAAATTGCTCAAAGGAACTTGTTTAGGGTGGCAATTTCCTTGCCATATTTCAGCGCTCTGTCTCCAGCTATTCAGGCTGTCTGAAATGAATCACTTTTTTCTTCCTGAACAATGGAGGATGTGTTATCAGTTTGTGCTAACTGTTTTTAATCCTCCTTTTCCATAAAAAGAAAAAAAACAAACTGAGACTGTTTCTGTTGACAACTCTACCCTACCAACTAAACATGCAAAAACTGTCAGTGGGCTTAAAGTAGTACCTTAACCAGAAGTCCAAATAGCTTGGCTGTTTTACCCACCACTGGAATGGAACGCATGCTACGTACACAAATCAGGACTCACATATAAAAAAACATCAGTAAGAAGTAAGATCCATTCTCCCCTTTAATAACTACAGATTTCATCCTACACTGGAAGGCTGCTGAGTCCAGGCTCCTGTTAGGTGGCCTCATCCCAGACAGTGGTGAGCCCATATAAAATCACAACCAGTTGTGGGCTGAGTTTTTTTTGCCAAAGCTGAATATATTTCCCTTTGAAGTACTGTTGGTGAGGATCATGCTTTATTACACATGGTGTTAACACCAGTTCAAAATCTGAACTCCTTTTTCATATTGAAATAAGAAATTGTGTCCACGAGAGCTTGAGATCGGCTTTTTCACTACAAGCTGCAACTCTTTTTTTCCTCAAATGAAATAAAGGCACTGCTTGGGAGCAGAAGAGCAAAAGGATGTTTCTAAGCTAAAAGGCAGGCAGAATAAGCTTGGCTTGTCACGAAGTTGCACTGAATTTGACAAATGAAATTTCATTAGAAGTGCAGGGGTGGTTATGAAACTGACAGTAAATAACTTTCTCCCCAGAGTCTCACACTTTTTCCAGAGTCTATTTTCTCTTCAGACTCCATTCTGCCAGGGACAATATTTTAAAAGCAAAAGAGTCAGAAGTTAGTAGATAATAAAGGTCAAATGTATTTTTTCCCGGAGCTACTGGAGTTTATGCCATTATTTTATCTTTTTCCCTCCTTTGCACTTTCTCTCACAATTGTTACCACTAATGTGTCCAAGCCAAGGCCATGAATCTAAACAAATGTGGAGGTGGTTCCAGAGCTAAATTGTGTAGCTGACCATTTTCTCTCCAATGACCCAAAGCAAAACCCAAGCTCTGTGCTGTGAAATGCTTGGAGCTGTTTCAGACCTGGATCTGAACTTCATGGCTGATGACCCTCTCTAGTCATCATCCTTCAGTAATTCAAAATATAAATTAAATGCACATCATCATTCATCCCACTAAACCACATCTGTGTGTGAAGCTACTTTTGCTCTCTCAGGGCATTACAAAACTATGAAGTATCTCTCTTCCTGGCTGTGACTGAGCAAAAAGGGCTTCTTTGTCTTCTTTCTTGCTGCTTCTGTAAGGAAGGTTTTCTACTCTTTTGGCTTGGGGATGTAAGACACTTGCATTTCCAAACAGGAGGCTCTATCATGACAGTTTGTTTTCTGTAGGATTAGATGTTGAATTTACTCTCTTGTCCCACCCTCACTACTCCTCAGAGGGAATGTGGGCTGGGAATAACCCTGAAGCAGCTTCTTTTGCACTGAAGCCAAGGCAGGAGGTCCAGCAATGGTCCAAAGTGTAGGAACACATCTTTCCTGGACAGACACTGTCACTTGTGATTGACTGAGACTGGCTAGAAGGAGCACCCAAACTCTTTCACAAGAAGCTCCCCCACAGTAACACAGCCTGTATCTCCTCTTACAAATGGCCTTCTGAAGGACACCTGGTTTTGAAAACACACATATCTGCATCTGTCTCTGTTGTTAGATGCGATTTTGATCATGCTTAGAGATGTTTTGTAAGTGAACTCTTTTCTAACCTACATGCAAAGAAAGAGTTTTTCTTGGTAGCAGGTAAAACCAGGTTACAAAACACCTGTTTCTGAAGTGCACAGCAGTCTCCAAATGGACAATTAATGGAAAAAAAGAGATGTTCTCAGACTCATTCTCTACTTTCCTTTTTAAAACACTGAGAACATGTGTTTTGGGCAGAATCCTGCTGCTGTCAGAAGAGCAGAGATGGGATTTCAGCACCCTAGTTTGGTTGATTGTTTAATTTTCTGGGAAGCAAGTTTTGTGGATCACACACTTAAGCTGATAAAATCAGCAGAACTTTACTACCTTCCCTCACCAGGCTATGTCACTGACGTAAATGGAAGTTATTACACTGATAGTTTATGGGAAGAGGATTTAGGTTAAAGAGATAACAGAGCCCCAGTCTTTTGCTCTTCCAAGTTTCCTAAAGCTGAAAATGCTTGCAGAAGTAATCTGAAGAGCGTATTTCCAGTGTAGATGAAGTTGGAGGACTCAATTTCTTGGTACAACCTCTGTTTTCTAGAACTGGAATTAGGACTTTCAGAAATCACTGATAACCCAGATGTCTTGCCACTGCTCTTAGTAGAAGTCAGTCCTAGATAATGATCCACAAATACCTTTAAATTCGCCTCTTTCTCAGAGTGTGCCATGCCAGCAGATGATTAATACATTAATCTTACTGCATTTGCAGCTGATTCTTTACTCATTCTCTACCTTGAAGATTTAGTCACGATCATCTACTGTAAGATCTGTTCTTACCCATAAGAGTGTAGTCACTTTTGAGTGGGGGATGATCTAAAATAAAGTCTTGCAGATGATAGTGCACAAAACACCACACACAGTTGCACACAACGTACATGATGCTGCCAGCAGTCCTGCTGCTTAAGAGCAAAAAACATCTTTCATGAAATCTGAATCTGCAAGTTGATTGTAATGCGATTGAGTAGGCTAATAAATGTCATACCATTGTACAGGCTCACACAGGAGGCAGTGCTAACACATTCGTTAAAGGTACCAAATTGTAGAGATTGTGTAACAGAGATATACTTCTTAGTTGTGAGAAAGAACAATTTATTTATGCTGCTTATTATTGAGAAATAATACAAAATGGTTCGCAGGAGAAAAAATTCCTGTTACATCACTCATTATTCACCATTGTACTGGATAGAAGATAGCTATGTGAAAGAAAAATCTGGAGAATTTAATTGAGCTAAATTTGCTAGATTTGATGGAAAATACGTGCTGCATACCACCCGCTGCAAATCCGATTTGAATTTGGTCATCAGTCAGATGTTAGACTGAAATGTACCATAATATTAGGGAAGGTCAGAAGAATATTGAGGTTTGTATTTGAAAGATTACAATCTCTGTCAGGCATTAACTACTATAGCTGCTAAATATGGCATTATAGAAAGCATTTTGCAGCTGGATTCAGTAACTCTCTGAAAACATTCAGAGAATGGAGGGAAAAGGTAAAGAAGTAGGTAAGTGTGCTTTTGGCATTTCTGGGCTTTATGAAGGTATAACTTTGTGGGAGCAAGGATGACAAGGGTAGCACTTGCAGATGTGAACTGGGGGGAGTCTGGAAGACGGCTCTATCAGTCTGCTTTGGTGGAGTTTATCTGTCCCAGCAGTAATCTGGGTACCAGCAGGTATTTGATGGCTCTGCGATAGGCGTAGATTAGAAGCCACTAGAAGGGCTATAAATTTTCAGGCTCAAGGCTTGAACTGATGTGTAACCAGTTGAGACTAGGGACAGGCTTCTCTTTTGGGGAGACTGCTGCGTTATTTGTTAGCAAGGCAGCTGGATTACATGGACAGTTATTTGTATCAAATACAGAGGTTCCTGTGTACTCTAGCTGTCAGGGTGCGGAGGAAAGCTTTGTCAGATGATGAAAACACACTGTAAAAGACATCTGCCACTGACTTCTTGAAATAGCTGTATATATAC